CCTGATTATATCACAAATGTGTCTTCCATATATAATTTATATGAAAAAAGTCTAACACTAGTAACAGGCCCGGGGTCCATATTGGGGGGAGGGGTTCCCTGTCCTCAAGCACCTGTGTCTTATTATACCTTTTTTTCTTTTCCTGTGGCCCATTTCCATTTTCAACTCTGGACGTAACACTCGTCGCTTTTTTTCCTGTGTGCCCTCTCCAGATCAAACGATGTATCGGTGGCTGGCAATGGGTCAGGGTGACGCTCTGATGCCTTCCAGGGACAAAGTGTATGTCCGATTGTAGACTTGTTTACATTAGCTACGGAGATTTTTTTTTTTGCTACCGCACAGTTTAACCCACCTCTGGCATTTATAATTTGGGAACGGTTTCGGAAAGGGAATCCAGTTATACCAGTCATGAACTCTCTTTCTGCATATCGGGAATCACTCTTACACGTCCCACAACAAAATTATTTAACCATACTCGGACTAACGCAAACGCGTGGTAATGTCTGGTATCGCTTACAGCATTGAAAATTATGACGTCAGGGCTCCTTATATCATGTATAATTGGAAAATCGACTATTAGGGCTTAAGGTATTCAATCCCTAAAAGGATCAAATTCAATGAAATTAAATACATAACAGATAAGTAGGCATTGAATAATCAGTTTATTTAGACATACTTCCCATTTATTACCATTAGTATGTATAGTGGGATGTGTCCTAGTTTATGACCTTGAATCTTGGTAAGAGTTATCTCCCCTTTTTTTAATTAATAAAAAAAAATAATTTAAAAAAATTGTAACCAGTGAAATTTTTTTTTCAATTGTCATTCTATTTTTAATGTTTTGAGGCATCTTTCCACCGCAGGATTTATTAATATTCAAAGTATTTAAATTTTTATTTTGTAAAAACGCTTTTCCCCATAGACTTCAATGCAATCTTTGTTAATTAACTACTGCTTAATTATTGAAATTTTTCTAACATTCTTGTGGTCAATCCTTTTCAATTTTGAAATACTTTAATATAATATCAGAGTATTATGTACTTGACGGACATTTAAGCGTAGGGAATTTGGTCCCATTAGGGATGGAAATCCTTAAACAAAACTGGCAACATACTAGACTGCCTAACTGATGGACGCCGTGAAAATGTTTATGTCACTGTCCGATCACGAGTGTGAATTTTTAAAAATCGCTGTCTCAACGTTCATACGTAGAAAATAAGCTCAGTCTGTATCGTTTTGACAGGGAAAAGAAACGTACCTCAAACTCTTGCCCTATTAGCATCAAATTCATATTTACTTTCTATATTGTTCCTCAATATTTGAATAAACAAGTGCAAATTGAAGGCGTCGTCGGTCTACAACTTTCGCTATGAGAGTTGTTTATGTCAACATGGCCATGGTCAAAGACGAACTATTCTGAAGTAAACTCGTAATTACGATATTTGTTGACTTAAACAACATTCGATTAGTTGTTATATGTTTATCTATCGATTGTTTTGACAATTTAAGTTGAACTCTATCGAAATTCCTCTCGATTACGTTCCTTTACGGTAAAATATATTTCTACGCCGTCCAGAAATAACGGATTGTACGGAGGCCTCAAAGAGAAATAATTTAAATATTTTTAAAAATTTGATATTGGAATTATAAGAATTAAACGTTCTTTTTGAAAAATTTATCGATGTGTAAACTCTTGACATTTTACTCACAAACTTAACATAAAAGTGCTTCGCACTTTTATTTAGTTTGTGAGTAAAATGTCAAGAGTTTACACATCGATAAATTTTTCAAAAAGAACGTTTAATCCTATAATAGCTCCCTCATATGATAGATAAAAAATCGTTCCGAATATAGTAAATATTGAGATAACCCCCCTAAACAATGACAAACTGTAGGAAAAGACCATCCTGCCCAACCAGAATAACCACTTCTGAATAATCTTATTTGGATATGACTGCACTTCATTACATTCAGATAATTTTGGTGGTCTTCATATTGAAAATGTTAAAAATATGTTTTTAAATTTTCTTCTTTAAGTTATTTCAAGGTTCATAAGAGATATATTTTTAATAATACAACATTACAACTTGAAAGTATCTCGGGAAAAATCAGTCCTAAACTATTTTAATGACCAGAAATCATAGCTGCTAACATGTTTAAGTGTGAATTTCCAAAAATTCTTGTTTAGGGTAAGAGTATTGAACAAGTAAAATGATTGTCATGTAACAAACTTGCAACTATAAAAATATAACACTGGTTCACAAACGATTACATACATTTAGTTTGATCTTGAATTGAAAAGGTACATTAGTCTATAAATAGAAATAGGTGATTTCCTTTTAAAATCTTGAGTCTGCAGTATCGTCGATAAGGCAGCTATTTGGCTCTTTCATAGTCTCCAAACGGAGCTTATGTTCAATAGTTGTAAGCCTTCATGTTCAATAGTTGTCAGCCTTATTAAATTCCAAAGTTTCAATTTATGAACAGCTTAGTACACATTTCGATACAGTTCTTGCAACATTATTAAAGTGTACGAAATGAAAAGAAAACTCTATGGTCTGACTAAAAACCGGGTACATCCAAGGGTCAACGGACTGTAAATCTTTTAAAACTATCAATTAATGTTGGTGAGTATTTAAGGCATTGTGCTTCCATTGATAAGTTGTGAATTAAGTATTCAATTCGGATCGCAAGTTTCGAAAAATCTAGCCTGGTTCCCTGTCCCTATTTTAAAATTAAATCAAGAATGCCGCCTCCAGGTGGAAGCGGCAAATTTCCGCTTTTTGTAATGTCGACGGTTTTGACGTTTTCCTGGCGCATAACATGTCAAAAACCTGAAAGAGCCCGGAATTGTTTGCAGAATAATCAAACTGGGGTAAATAATGAATCAAGTTTCTTTTTTAATTTTATTCTGTTACATATGTACTCTTTTACATGTATGCGTTGTTTCAACAATTAACACACAAGCAATATACAGTGTATAGCAACTCTATTTGTCTATTGAAGTCCTCCAATTTTCATGGAAAAAGTGAAAGAAATTTTATTATCCCCAAGATGGTAATATTCTATTCTTGATTACAGAAAACATTCACCTTAACTACAGATACATTTTCTGAATATGATTGTTACATCCAGAATAAAATCATCAGTGACGTCATAGACAGAAATTGCAAAATACTGCTGAACAAGAACATTTTATAATTCTCTATATTCCAATGTTTCATTTCTGTCTTCGTTCTATAGCTCACCTGTTCTCTTCCATCGCTTTCAGATGTTTTATTTTGATTGCGATCCTTGGTTCGACACCCACACTGACTGGTACATGTACGAGATCTATTCTTATAATTACTTTCTTTATTATCATTTCTGCTTGTTTTTAACCTAGAAATAACTGAGATTACTGTTGACATGACGCTAAAACACAACTGGAAATCAACGTACAGGGTGAGATAAGGTATATCCACGGAACTCTGGGGCATTGTTTGTTCAAATAATGTCAGAAAGACGGTAAAGGCTAGTAAGAGGGTCAGAGAATACTGAATTCTCTCCCCTGATTCTAAAGGAATAAGAAATGTCAAAGAATTCATTAATGAGAGTGCCAATATGGGTACAAGGGTACTAAATACAAAATAAAGATACCGTCTTTTGAGGTGAAGTTCGTATTGTAATACTGTCATTTCATACTCGGACAGATACAACACACGGTGTGTAAAACTTGTAATATCCCATTCTCCATTTTGTGTAATAAAACTTTCATCAGTTGATGGTTGTACTGGAGTTAGCTTCTGAGAAGAGTCCGAGGTTATCCAAGCGGATAGAGTCAATAAACAGGTCTGGTTGTCAAATGGAAATTTTTTCATCTTAAGATAACATGAGATTTTGAATTTCCCGCCTGGAATCCAAGTCATGTGACCGTTTGACGTCACTGATATAATAGTAGGAGATCCAAGTGCGTTAATTTTTTCGTCTGAGTAATACAGATATAAATCCGGAACCCAAACTTTTTGTTCTGGCACGGTGATAGATGTCATTTCGGAGTAACTGGTTTCATTCCAAATTAGATAGTCGTCAGTCCACTTAACATCGAACCAGGCTGTGAAAGAAATGTACTGTAAATGTTCCTCTACCTCGTGAATCGTGTTTAACCTCATTAGAACGCTCACATGGACAGATTCATTTTTATTTTTTCTTGGATTTAAAATTTTACTATAGTCCTTGAAAAGATGTTGCTCAAAGTTGGATTCGCACAGACAAGTATATATCTGTAGGAAAACGATATAGAAGAACAGCATTTTAATTTTTATGTCCATCTTCATTTTGCAGTCCTTATGTGTATTGCTAAAGAGAGCGTTGTGAACAAAAGTTAAATACTTATTCTCTTTGTAACATAAATACCCACACAATATATAGTGACGACTGATACGAGATAACACACATTTTGTTATTCATTTACAAGAAAAAAGAGGAATCTGAAATGATATTCATTATTTGACAAGCAGCAATGGATTAATGGCAACAAATGGGTTTTATCAATCGTTCAACGAACTCGGTATTTGATTCTATTATACTAAAATCAACAAAATGTAAATACATGAAAAGTAAAGTTATTTCGATCAACTTATTTTAAGTCTGATGAAAGGCTCCATTAGTCTAACATTGTTTCATGTTCTTTGTTGAATCTGTCACAATCGAAGCAAACAAAACAAATGTGTAGTACAAATCCTCTAAACAATAAATCCACTAAAAAAAACGCTCCATGATTTCATGTACTCCTCCATCCTCAGGATCACAGGAGGTCCATTGTTTTTCATTTATTTTACCATTTTTGTTTTTGAAAATCGTAAATTCACTGGAGTACATGTACATATTAACCGGCTGCGTGTCAGTGCGAGGTGCTATTTATAAATGCCCTCGCAACGAAGTTGGAGTGGTAAAGTCATGCACGTCTTTGTGGATGTTAGTTGTGTGAGAAAGTTCGTCCTTGTACGAAACGGAAGTTACGTAATTTGCATCAGGGTTGACGTCGAATGCTGCCTTGAATTTGCGGGGCTCTGCTGCCGCTTTGCGGTGTCCTTGTTCTTTTTTTTTTCATAAAAAAAATGAAAAAAAAATAATAAAATGCGCATTATTTTACAAGGATTCAAATCAACCCTTGCATTATATTATTCAAAACAGTGTCGAACAAACGTTATTGATTTTCCTTTAATTTTGACAACACGTTTTTTGTAAAATGTTTAAGGTTTGGACTCCTTTTTAATTTTTTTTAAAATCGTATTAATAGTCATGCCATTTTTCATCATTCATCATGTCATCATTTTTTGGATATATAACAAGGGTTACATATAGAAAGGATGATATTTCTTCAGCAATGTGTATTTTATCTATTAAATATTGAATTTATTTAACAAATGTTTCGTTGTATTTTTGGCAACTTACAAAAAAATTAGTTCAATGTCGATTTGATTTCTTTTACCAAAGGCTGATTTCTAACTCACTAACACTGCACATGCCTTCGAACATTATCTGGGGCTTAAAATTCCTAAAATGATTCTGTCCCTGGGAACCTAAATGCGAAATTTTCTTAAATTCGAAAATTGTCAAATAACTTTAATCGTAGGTTAAATGTACTTTCAAATCCAGTATTTTTAGCTCACCAGGGGTACGTGCAACGGTGTATTGGCTAACCTAGCAGCTAAGTAGTAGATATCTATCTCTTTTAGATTTTAAATAAAGATATTTCAGTAAAAACTTATTACTGGATCAAATAAAGTCTATTTCAGGCGAAAATATGTATTTAAATTTACATTTAATTCACTTAAACATAGGAAATAACCCTCCTTTTTGTAAAAATCTTAAATGCTGCGAATTTGTAACCAAGGAAACCATCTAGGATTTGGGACGTAACATTAAATATTTATGCTAGCTCTCCATACGTAGCGGCTAGGTTAGCTCGCCATTCAAGAGCGTAGCTTTACGTAGCGGCTATGTAGCAACTACGCTGTTGAACGCACCCCTTAGCCGAAGGCTCAAGTGGGATTTTCTGATCACATTTTGTCCGTCCGTCTAGCTGTCTGTCTGTACGTCTGTCCGTCTGTAAACTTTTCATATTTTCGACTTCTTCTCAAGAACCACTGGGCCAATTTTAAACAAACTTGGTACAAAGCATTCTTGAGTAAAGGGGAATTTAAATTATTAAAATAAAGGGCCAAGTCCCCTCACAAGGGGAGATACATGTAATGAAGAAAAGACAAAAATAGGGTAGTGTCATTAAAAAGTCTTATTTTCAAGAACCACTGGGCCAGAAAAGCTGAAACTTATGTGGAAGCATCTTGGGGTAGAGTAGATTCTAAATTGTTCAAACCATGACCCCCCGGGGTAGGGCGGGGCCACAATGGGGAATCAAAATTTTACATAGAAATACATAGGAAATATCTTTTAAAATCTTCTCAATAACCACTGAGCGAGAAAAGCTAAAAGTTATGTGGAAGCATCCTGGGGTAGTGTAGATTTTAAATTGTTAAAATCATGAACCCTGGGGATAGGGCGGGGCCACAATGCGGAATCAAAATTTTGCATAGAAATATATCGGAAAAATCTTTAAAAATCTTCAACCACAGGGCTAGAAAAGCTAAAAGTTATGTGGAAGCATCCTGAGGTAGTTTAGATTCTAAATTGTTCTAATCATGACCCCCGGGGTTTTGGCGTGGCCACAATGGGAAATCAAACTTTTACATAGAAATATATAGGCAAAATCTTTGACAATCTTCTACTCAATAACCATTGAGCCAGAAAAGCTGAAACTTATGTGGAAGAATCCTTGGGTAAAGTAAACTGTTTTAATCATGGCCCCAGGGGGTAGGACGGGCCATAATGGGGAATCAAAGTTTTACAATGGGGAATCAAAGCATGTTATGATAGTGTAGATTTCAACTTATCTAAATCATGATCAGTTGGGAAGGGTGGAGTCACAATATGTATTACAAGGGGGGAATCTGGTAAAGAACGGGTGGTCAAAGCTTCTCATGTGAGCGATGTGGCCCATGGGCCTCTTGTTTGGTTTTAAGATAGATTCTTTTCTGGTTTCTGACTACGTAGAACATTCAAAGTATATTTGCTTATATGTCTTATATATTCAGGTGTAAGGGTGTAAAGACCATATTTTTATTTCCTCATCACAATTGTACAACTTTTAATATGGGGACTACATTTTGGCGGAATTTTTAGTTAAATAATTTATGTAAATTTAGTAATATCATGCTATAGACGGAGTAAGACCCGATATATATGCCAAAAAGAACAAGAACAATCTTTAAACATTTGAAATTGGAGTAGGCATCACATAATTGGCGACATTATTTTTTATTCTTAATGTCAAGGGAAAAGATAATGAACTTTACCTTACCTTGCCTCTAATATAAAACGGTCAAATTTAATTTCACTGATACCATCACTTAGTGATTGTCTTCTTGATTCTGTGAAAGAATCATTCTCTATAAGGCCGTTTTGCGGCCTACAATGACTTCAAATTTTCAGATAGTATTATACCCTTAAAATTGCATGAATCAGTAGACTTATGTTCAAAATTAATGATAAATATTGGTTGGTTAATGATACAGTAGTGTTTGTTATGATATAGGTTCAGAGAGTAAGGTACTATCGGCCCGTATTAGCATTAGAGTAATGGGAAAACTCAAGAGGGTGGCTGTGTTAGATAACTCCTACGAATGTCATATCCACCAACACCAAAATGTGCATATAAATTTCTTATAACCATAAAAAGTGACTACCAAATTATGAATTTGGTTAAAGGTGGTTATGACATGTAAATAAATCTTTTCGCTTTATTTTTACGATATTTGCAGCTAAAGCTTAATTAATCAAAATGAAGGATATCAGCTTATGTAAAATATTTCTTTTTAATAACTTTTAGTTAGAGTACACATTTTCAGTTGATTTACTTAGATTTATATCAGACATGCATATTTACTAAAACAATGTCAACTTTTTACTTAAAAAAATCTCAAATCAAAGGACTGAGAAGAACGGATGTCATGAATTTACAAGTGGAGATGTTTCATTTAAATGTCTGATAAAAATTAAGAAATTAAAACTTTTCATAGGCTGTAAGGTTTGAATATGAATTATATTTTATAATTACAAATATTTATAATGATATTTTAGTTTATCTATATATGCTACTTCTTTGAATTCCGTTATGAGTTTTGAATATCTTCTATGTATTTCCTTATGAATACTTTATATGTTCTAGAAATGATAAAAGCCTTCTTTGTTGCAGAGGTAAAATGCATTTCCTATTTGTGTTATAGACTTATTTTCTGTGGGTACACACATAATGTTTTCTAGGGACACTCCCGTACGAGTAACATATGATCCATTTTTTGTTAACTGGGTCTCAACTGAGAGGATTCAATATATTCATCACACTTCTTATCACACTTCTTTGATAGCACCGTTATACATATAGTAGAAGGAACACTACTGTGAAATCTACTCCATTTTTATGTTGTGCCGTTAGAAACGAGGGTCATCAAATTTTATACATATGTGAATTCTTAAAGTTTAGATGGCATTTTTAATTGATTATTACGTGCAGTAATAAAATAAAAGCAAAGCCATTTTACGACGTTATTTCATTTAACGTAGAGATGTAACATGAAGCGGTCACCCATCCAAGGGTTAAACAGGTTCGCCGTTGCTTAACTTGCCTGAAATAGAGGGAGACTCTACCGCATCATCAGAAAATCTAGCTAACTGGCGAGGCAGTATAAGTTCCCTATATACTGTCCGCTACACTTTCCCCCGCTCAGGGAAGCTTCGACCCGAAGCTTAGCATGAGTTCTCTCTGAGTATCTAGGCCCCTTCAGCTACGGCAACCAATGCCGTTCCCGGACACGAAGTCCGTACCTGGACACAAAGTTCTAGTCTTAGAGCATCCTGAAGCAGATAGGAACCTGACTTCAGATACGGCAACCCCTGCCGTCCACAGACACGAAGTCTGTATATGGACACTAAGTCCTTGCTCTAAGACTTCCTGAAGCAGGACACCAGACACCCAGAGTCACTACGCTGCCACCAATTTCGTAACATGAAGCGGTCACCCATCCAAGGGTTAAACAGGCTCGCCGTTGCT